TATTATATATTGCTATATCCTTTATATTCGTATAATGTTCATTCGGGTATCAAATTGATTTACTGGATTTAAATCAATTTAAAATAAATGTTGTCAAATATAGAAACGATCAATAATTCAAAAACTTAAGATTCTAGTAATAAAAGAAAAACTATATAAAATTATATAGATGGTTATTATTTATTCATACTTGGATACGTAGAAATATCTACAGTTAGAGCCAGGATGGTATTTCCATCAAAATCAGGTTTATTAGCGGATTTATTCATTACTCTGTCTGCGTCATAAATGTGAAAGTGAGTTAGATTATTTGTTACATCTTTATGGCGTAACAACAGGAACATAGTATGCTTATTTCATTCTATATTATTCAAATTCATATTTGCATAATTTAAAAATGGTTTTTTGCTTCGTGTTGTGAAGTGCATGTAAAGTCTGATAAACCATGTCAGAGATCTTCATGTATAAAAAAAAGTGCCTTATAAACTCTCGATATAAGAGGGCGGCAATTTCGCTTGAGTAGTAGTGGTAGTTCGGGCCAGTTAGACAAAGATGCAGGCAATTAGTTAGTTGCAGCTATTAGTGCAATAAATGGATAGTAATACGTTCAGTTTGTCGCGTCTATAATCTAGAATCCGCCAAATCGGTATGCCAAGTTATCCGGCATCCTGTCATTTCAAAACTCGTCACCGATTGCGACGTCGATGGACATTAGCTTTTTGCGGTGTGCGTGATCACATACCACCATTGAAAGCTGCTGGTTTCGTTTCCGCCGCCATAATCACATGGTGGCAGAAAGTGCATGTTGTTGGTTACAGTCTGCGACACCGGCACAGAGACATAATAAACAGAAAGGACACTTCGTCAATTTGAACAGAAAAGTCACCATTCTATCATGAGTATTACTTTGCCTGATCATTTTAGGGCTTAAATTAGGCTCATCAGAGTCTAATTAATTCCTAACTTTCCAGTTTCTATATAAAAAGCTTGGAGGAATAACTAAAACAGCATTAGTGATGGTATTTTTAATTTTTGACAATATTTATTGCAAAAAGAGGCTTGCTATCAATATTTAGATTCTGTAGTAGGCTGATTATGATTATTTTGGGCGATAATTATGTTCCTGTATATTTCTCTTATGTTTTGCGCAACATTTTAAATAAGTTGCAGGAGAGACTATGTATGGATTATAACAGTTTAAACACGTAAAATGAACTTCTAGTTACTATGTAGGTATAAGACTATGTGGAGGCGTGTAGACGTGGACTTGATGATATTTATATATAAATTCAGAAGAAGTGAAAGAAAGAAAGATTTAGTACGAGATTTTATTATGAATAATATTTACAGTAAATAATTCCAGATTTAATAAGTCGCGATACAAAATATTGTTCGGTAAAATTGCTAAGACAATAAGATTGTCAAGAACGTCACTGTTTATTTTTCTGTAAGTATGTAGGTTTGAAAGAGGTTGGTAGCCTACAACTATATCAGACGACATGAAACATTAAGTTTCTGCATTCCCTGATTCCACACCTGAAGCAAGATCGAAAACTAGATGGATCTATGTAATTAGAAAATACCTCAGTTTCAGCAATATCCATGGGCCAACTGACCTGTTTTATCCTCATCAATCATCTGTTACTGGTGCGCCGTCAGTATATATCAATTGCGCAGACGGTTACGATTCCATTATCATCCACTAAGACTCACGTGTCCAAATGGAAAGCAAATCAAGGAAGGTAGATCATATTATTAAATGGAGCACATTGTACTCGTATACCGATTTTTCATAGTACAACGTACCCCAGTTTAAGGGTCTAGCTTGGTTTTACTTCTTCATGTAGGTATATATGTAGAAATAAATGTATTTTTAATATGATTTATTATTGTAATCCATAATTTATTTCTACCTATTTATAATTAGAAAACAACCTTGCGACTTCTTCATTGTATAATTAAACAACAACTCTCACAAAACTGGTCTTCATATCAAATTGTACCTCATGTTGTTACTTTATTCCACCTTTTGTGAAGAGAAAATAAACCATTCATTCATTCATTCATTCAAACACGTTTTTTTTTGTAGAAATTAAAAAAAAAAACACTCATAGTGGTGGTACCTAAACTCATGTGAAGGAAAATCTGTTCTTTTATATTATTTTAAAATTAAAAAAAATTTAAATGGTTGCCGCTGTAATATATAGCTATTATAACAATAGGTTTATTTTGTTAAGGCTGTTTAAAGAGGTAGTAGTCCAGCAGTGAGGTACCATAGGCTATGAATGGAATATCAAATAAAACGAATATTAAACTACCTACTAGGTACTACGAGAATCCCAATTTTTATGCATATTCTATGAGACCGGTGACACGCGAGGTCTAACCGACATCCCGTACCGTTTACAGTTCTCAAAGTGTATACACAAAATATTCAATAGGTTAATGAAATGTTAACAAATATAATTTTAATAGTCACAGGATTATTTTAACGTTATTCTCAAAAAAAAAACAAAGTTAAAATTGATAAAAAAATTACTCACCAGTAAAATGCGTCTAATAAATATAGATAACAAACATATTTTATTTTTTCTATGAGAAAAAAAATTGTTATTATTACTTAAAATGATATAAATGTTTTTATTATCACTTAGTATTAAAGTAATTGTCTATTACTTGTTATTCTAAATAATAATCGCTCTACCCGCTGACATTGATGCTCCTTTCTATTTTGGGTTTGCCGGAAGAGAACTTTTTCAGAGTAAGCCCGACTTTGTACATTTTATTACCTCTGTCATATTTTTATGCATAATTAGCGCGTATAATCAAGTAGTAAATAATAATAATAATAAAATTGTCTATTTATTGATATAACTAGCTTAGCTTAGCTAGTTTAGTAGCAGAATTAGTTTGTTAAAGATGTTCTCTATTACCAAATATAAGGTAAAAAATATATATTAATATTTGGGAATTTTTGTTTTTAGGATGGAAAATGTTACATAATATCCTTTTTAAAGTCGTTGTATAGAGGAAGAGGATCCTTTGAATTTGTTTCTATGTTACGCGATATCTACAACAATTCTGAAGCGATTTTATTTACTTGGTTACAACTATAAACAAAGTTGCAGCTTACACATTAAGTGTCTGTTAATGTTATGTGTTCGTTACAAAAACTCATCTATAGATATTAACATCAAATAAATTACCTGGACACAGTAATCCGTGCATGATTGATTGTATTTTTACCGAGAACTAGGGTTAAATTCTTGCAATTAGAAATGTAAGTAAAAAAATTTCCGTATAGGGCTGTCAGTTCGTGGAAATTACGATGAGTATATAAATATGATTATATAAATAGGATTAATAAAATAAATTTCTAATTCAACCCGAATAAAACCCGACTTAAGTCGTGATAAGACCATTTGTTTTGATTTAAAAACTAAACTACGAATTCGATTTTGGTAAATTTTTGTGGGATATATCTGTAAGTATATTGTTTCAGATAAAAAAAGAATCGGTTTACATCTGACGGAGTAATGAGGTAATAAAAATAAGAAAATATATATAACCTATATATATATAAATACATATATATAAATTGAGGGTTCTCAAAGGTCCCCTTCATTTTCGTAAGTGCTTGTTAGTAATGCGGCTTATTAGTCCCATTGCTAACAATTGCTGTCAGGTCGACTTGGAAACCATTGTGGCGAATTTCAGACGTATTTATCACGATGGGTTAACTGACCTGCTTTTTCATTATCCATCTATTACCCTTCACTGGTGCTCCACCAGCGTATATCGTTGGCACAGGCGAGGTTACCATTCCATTCATAGAAAAGCTACCATACTTTATTACTACTACTCATAGTTGTTGTTAGTCGATGGATTGTTGGTAATGGAGATTAGAAGCTTGCTTGATTGTTAATAATATACCCTGTCATGATGACCTCTACGCTGTTCCCCCTAGAAACCACCGGGGTTGATTCTTATTAAATTTGTCAATATGACTGATCTGCTTTCATCCTCATCTATCATTCCGTATTGATGCTTCGCCGGCGTGTACTTGTGTAATTAAAGGTAGATTAAACTCTTAATTGTTACTACAGGAAGTTGAAAACTCAGATGTGAGACTAATTTACTATTTCTAAATTAGCATTTGAGCTTAATTACCATTATGTTAATGTCGTCATAATGGATATGATATGTTTATTGAAATCAAACCACAGGACTGTCCCGAGAGACTAATTGGACAACGTTAAAGCTTTGAAATTTAACACCAGGGAATTAGTTATTTACCATCTGAGGATTAGTGTTTTAAAATAATTTGCCAACTCTGGCAGGTAAATTGCCAAGCGAATACATACGGCAGGCGGGGTAAATGTTGCGCTGGCGCAACCCTGTAATTGCTGTTTCTAGGAAACGTAATGAACACCAGGTGTTGTGTGTCATTTACTTCGATTCCACAAGTCGAGAGGTTGTATTAATTGTTGCCTTGTAAGAGTTACTGGCAACGCTAATGTTGAGTTATTACGCTTGTGTGAGGACAATTTATGTAAATATAGTGGAGCTCTGTGCAGTTTGTGTAATAAGCAGTATGCTTGAAAAGTTATTATTGAAATCCTTTCCAGGTACTATTATTTTAGTTGAAGAAGTCTCCAAGGAGCACAAATAGTACTATTTACATGTTAAACTAGTTACATGTAGCGAAGCATCAGAATTTTTACAAATTAATTTTTAGTCCACTTCAGAAAATACTGTCATTAATTTATTTGGTGATGAAACATCGCTCGTGAAGAAAATATTAATTTCAAACAATTCGAAGGGGAAAAGGATGCAGGATATTATAAATTTTATGAATGAGATATTAATCGTTAAATATAGGGTCAGAAAGATATAATGATAGCAAATATCTCGTTCATAAATTTGTAAAATGACTTACATTATCACGTAAATTGAAAACAGATAGAGCACTAAAGACAAAAACAATAAAAAAATACCAACACATATATTCTTATATTTAATATAAATAATCATTAACTTAATTTTAGAAATTATTATACGAATTATTTACAGGTTTTATTAATTAGATTAACATTTGAATTAATGATAGATGATAAAAATTCGATGACGAAAATTAGCACTCTCTCTAATATTATAAACGTGAAAGTGAGTTTGTTTGCTTGTTTCTATATACAAATAAATAGCGTCTAAAGACTTAATCAATCAATATTAAATTTAACTTACTATATGGGATGGAGAAGGATAAATGTATTCAGTCATTACACAGATTAAAAAAAGAATAATTTATTCAGAATCATCATCTTCAGCTTGGAATGCTTTGGCGGGTGGTTTTAACATTTTGCTCCTGTTTGCCAAGCGCAGTGTTGATGAGCCGAGTCGGTTGATGTTCTTAGGAGGCGCAGACGGAGCGCCCGAGGTTGCTCCGAGGCCTATCTTCCCCTCGTTACTAATTAAGGGCACCTGTAACAAATATCAAATTTGAAGTTTCATGAAGATTCTTTGAATGGTGTAAATTATTTTTTTATGTACTAGCTATAACCTGCGACTTCGTCTGCGTAAATTTGGATAAAAAGTTCCCATAAATATGGATTAATTATATATATATATATATATATATATATATATATATATAATATGCATCTCATTATCATAACAGCCGTTAACTGTCCATTGCAGAATATGCACCTCCCCTTGAGGGATTTTGCTTGTAGTTGCCATACTTGGTAGGCGGGTTGGCCATTAAGTTCTCTTAGTTGCTTTTTACGACGCCCAGGGGAAAGAAAGAGGTGGACCATGTTGTGTCAGGACTCCACTACAATATATACAATATATATCTAGTCAAATAATTTAAGAGATGGTGTGATTAAATCACCAGGAATTAATGTTCGTCATTTATGCGGAAGAGTATGTTAATGTTTTAGTAGGGGTGGTGGTGGACAAGTTGTATTTTTATGTTTGGTGAGTTTGTAATATGTAAACCTTATTGTTTTTCATTACAATATGATTAGCAATTATATTATTTATATATAAAATTATACTGATACAATAACTTCTTGACTAATCTAAGAACATAAATGAAAAAACGTAATATATTATTTTTTTATTAGCACTTTCAAAGCTTTTAATTTTCTAGTTTATCCTTCTGTAAAATTTCAAACAAATCCGCCGAGACGTCTCAATGTTATTGAAAATAAACACGGTTGAATTATAGCTTTTTGAATGCTGATGATATTCCACAGACTGAATTTTGTAAAGGTAGGATGTTGTAATAAATTCGATGTATTCTCTCATGCAGCGCTCTGAATCAGTAACAGTGCTATATCAAGTTTTATGTTATTGTAGCACTGTGTACAGTTGCACATATATTCACATTAAATATAATAGACAGATGGGAATTTATACATACATGCATATATATTACTCATAAATTCAATCAGATTATTTTTAATGATAAAAGAATTCACTCAAAATGTTTCATAGACACATTAGACTGAAAAGTTGATATTGTTCCGCATATAATATCTAATTGTAACAAAACATACTTATGAATGATATTTTGTAGACAGATTGAAAATATTTGAATTTAGAATGCGAAATCGAGTACCATAAATAGATGTTGCTTTGCAACATACGAATATTTTCTTAATTTGGAAGTTCTTTAAAAGAAGTTTTATGTACTTCTGTATTATTTTAAACAACCTCTATAAAATCACCATAATTTTAATTAAATAATTATTAATTTTGTATGTACAACAAATATAACTGCTAGTCTCACTTTTAATTCACAAATTGCGTCATATAACTACGACAAATGAAAAGCATCATCGTCAAAAAAACTCGTTCATTAACGTTATTAGTATGAGTTACATAGACTAGAAAAAAAGTGCAACGAGTCAGTAGACCATAAATAATGGATAACTACGCACCCATTACTTTTATAACGACAGACAGACAATGTGTTATTAGCGATTCATTGTCTAGCCAGGTTAACATCCTAGACAGCGGAAGTCCAGATTTCCTGCTGCACGCATCAAATATGGTATAGGCCAAAGATTGTCAAAGTGAGTGCCTTTGGGATGACAGACTATAGTGGTTAATGGTATGAGCAAAATTGAATAGAAACACGTGCTTAGATTGAATTGGTTTGAATTTAAAACACTAGAAAGTAGATTCAGAGTTTCTGCACATGAAAGATAATAATTGGTGTAAAGTTTTCTCAGTGAAAAAAGATTTGTATTGAATAACGCACACGAGTCCGCTCGTCCGTTGCACAAAGGAAATATTTCCTCTGTGTTGTTTACTAACAATCTGGTAAAAACCAGAGATTAAGAATTTAGTCCTTCGCGGAGAAGTCTTGTGCGCAGGCTATACAATAGGAGAGAGTGTGATACGAAAGACAAAGCTTGAAGCTCAAATCCGTGCTGCGTATTATCGTTGTTGATAAGAGAAAATAGAATATAAATAAAGATTTTACATCCCACAAAAAAAGGCAACTTCAATTGTAGCAAAACTTGTTATTTTGTTTAAAAATTAAACCGATTTTGATGAAATTCCTATGGGCCCAATCAGAAAGTCTTAGATTTTTATTTTCAGATAAAAAAAAATACAATTGAATTGACAGCCTCCTTCTTTTTTAATTCGGTTGAAATAAACAAAATATTTCTTAAAATATGCAACAATTTCATTATTTTCTAATTTAATTCGCTCGTAGTTTTTAATAATCTTTTTATTGAACTAAAATATTATTTAATAAAATTACATGTAGTCCTGACACCCAAACTAGCGTTAACTGTATGTCAGTTATCAGTACCTTCCCAAGTTACAATTTATTTATAGTTCCATATACATATACAGATTCACATCACTTAATAATATACATTTATAATATTGCTATATTTAGATTGTAACTGAAAGGCTTCTAGACCCTATTTTAAAAAGATAAGAATTGTGAACATACGTTAGAAATATGTTAGTGTATTTATGTTTTTGTACAAAATATAATTGTTATATTCTGTTTAAACTTTTGTAGTTAGATTATTAACAGAAAACAACTTTTGTACAAAGTCTCCCTCTGGAGAGGAGACAAAAGTCGAAGAGAGAAAAGTTTATTGCTTGGGTACCTCTGTCCCATTCGTGTTTCAACCGTGAAGCAGTTGTGTTTGCATGGCTGTGTTTCGGTTTAAAGGGTGGGATATGACGTGAATTTACTGGGTACAGAGGAATAACACCTGAGTCCTCAGGAATGGCAACGCATGGGGGGTATCATGGGCGAAACAGTATACTCTGTTATGTCCATGGTACTGCTCATGTCTATAGGCGACGGTTACCACTTCCCATCAGGTGGGCCGTCAACTTGTTTGCCATTCTAAGTTGTATAAAAACAAAAAAAATCGATTTACTGCAAATTTGTTAAATGTACTTAAATGTAAATAAATGAAACTAAGCAGTAATAGATACCTACAGCACCAATAAGTTTGAGGAGTGTTGGTGTAGACGGTATGATGATATAGGAGGCCAGTGGCATAGATCAAAACAACTCCATACATGGAGTGTCCAACTCCAAAGACGCATAACTAGACTGTTTTTGCTGTACCAATAGTATGGTCGCGCACACACGGTTTTCATGCAAAGCTCACATTGTTATATTGTCTAATTCATTGATCAACTATATATAGTATACTGAAAAATATCCTTTTCTAAATTGAATAGGAAAAAATCGAGTTATAAAAAAAGAACAGACAATTTTTTCTACATTATAGATAATTAATGAATGAATAACATAAAAAGAAAGAAATACATATCTATTTAGTGCTTAAAATTACAAAAATATTTAACAAAAAACAAAAGTAAAGAGGAATGAAAAAAAAAGCACAAATGGTGTCACTCAGCTATATGCCATATTCTTTCGAACATGACGCTAATTTTCAGTAGTACCAATTTGTTGGAGAGAGAGCATTACTTAAAATCAAACAAAAAAAAATACTGGACTGAGTTGGTAATAACAAATGGTGTGCAAAGTACGCACAAAACCAATAACAGAATCTTAATTTTAGTAGGATCTAGGATAAACATAATGCGTGTGTTGGCTAGATGTGAATACAAGATATACTCGTATAACAATAATATTATAAAATTAAATAAAAATAAACAAAGTAATACAAATTGTATAAAGATTAACATAAATTATGAGAATAATTTAACTACATAGATTTGTTTATATAATAATCCAGGAAGGTGTTGTTCTTGCAACTGGAATCTATCATTATTTTCTATTTACAAAAGGATAAAATATCTGCTTTTATTTAGAAAAGGATTAATAAAAATAAAATATGAAGCAACAAAAAGAAGAAATTCCTATTTTTTCAATACAATTTGTTACATTTGTATTATTAGTAATTATTTAAACACCTAGCGACAACATATTACTTAATGAATGAGGAATAAAAAATTAACAATAGATTGTTGACGACTATTATACTTGCTAACGAATGGCTGAACACTTTGATTAAGAGGAATTTACTTTTAAAAAAAATATAAGAAACTAGTTAAGTATGTATGTGGGAAAAAAATTATAGCTAGTATAAATAGTTCTAAGCACTAAGCTACTGAGTGCTTTTGCCACATTTACGAGGAAAATAAAAATAAGATATTAGTGTGATTAATTGTATGTAATCGCAACTTGGCTACGTGGCTACACGTTGATGACCTGCTTGATGGAAAATTGTACCCGTCTATACATAATTTTTTTTTTCTTTTTTTTAGTTACTTAGGTACCACGCTTGGTAGGCCGATTGGCAACCGTAGTTTAGCTTTGGTGATGTTATAATAGGGCCGGTGCTATCCATAGCTCAACCGTAAAAATACCTTTTCCGTCACTTGTGGGAAATGAAGGGGTAGTCTATTCTATAGCAGGACCACACAGCAAGTGTTATCGCTAATAGAATTTTTCACATACAAATTCTACGAGAGATATATGTTAAAACAATTTTTTACACAAAATGGAAAATAATAAATATAAAAACAGTATTGTATAGTAAAAATAATTTCGGCATGAAATAAAAATACGATTATAAAGTCAAATTCACTTAACATTGTTTTACATTATGAACGTTCTTAAATTTACAGGAAATCTAAAATAGAAGTTCCAAACTAATATTATTAGAAATAAATTTATGAGTTCATAGCACCTGCGCCGTTCAATTATTTTGGTATTTGCTTAGTATAAGTAATCAGTCAAAGAAAAGAGTTCCAAAGAGTGATCGATCAATTTTGCTATCAAAGATATAAGTTTATTGTTACCAACCTAAAAATAAATTATCAGGATATCAGACTTAGACACAGATAATATAATGCTATGTAATACAAATACTACTTCATATTCATTCATCACTCACTTTCACATCATTCACTTCAAAATATTCATATTATGATTATTAGTGTAGTGACGCCTCTCTATGATT